ATGGTGCCAGCTGAGTACAGCGGCAAATCAACACAGGCTAATGTTCAGGTGAGATATCACCACCAAACCACATGGGTTCCTGCTTTGAACTGGCAATATTGCCGAAATTATCCATATCTTTTCTAGAATCATTTTTGAGAATCCAAGTTTGCACTAATATGTATTTAGAAATATGTGTTGTGTGATAACTGAAACCATCCATTGTGATTCTATCCTTTTTCCCCAAGCTTTTGAGGTCTGTGTGCCAGTGGTCTATTGGGACAAAGGTCCACGAGGAGTCGATTCATTTAGCCTACGTATCAGCCATCCAGAACAGCAAACATTTCATCTACATAGAGGTAAAATATATGACCACAACTGTACATCAACTGCACAGTCTGGGATAGGGCCTATGTCTGGTCTTCAGTGCAGAGTAAAATGTTTTTATTTGTTTTTAGGGGCACAGTAACCGTACATAAATTTTATGAACTTTGATTCAAATTAATATTTCAGAAGTGCTGTTTTATTCTAACTATCTATTCATTGAAGAGTCCTGAAGTAAAATATGTTAAAATAGAAAACAGTTTTATGGCACTGTAAAATTGTAATAATGTTTCAATTTTGATCATACAAATGCAGTCGTGGTGAGCATAAGGAACCTCTTTCAAAAACATTAAAAAATCAAATAAATCTTGCCGACCCCAAACTTTTGATTGGTAGTAGTGTGTAAATATGTACAATATCATGCACATTATGTGTTAAATCTATATGTGAAAACTAAAATCAAAGGCAACCGATAAAACTACTGATGAGGTTTTGCTTCAGATGCAGTTCCTGTGCCATATTTCTGTCTTCCTTTCACTGCATCTCTCTTTCAGTCATTCTCTCTCCTTTCTCCCTTTTGTCTCTTTGTCTCTCAGAACCAGTTCTTCATCAGTTGTGCTGACAAATCCATCCACAACAGCATTGGAGATGCACTGACGGAGAGGATCCTGCGGGCATACAGGTGCATCGTGACAGTAGATACACTCATATACAAACATGAACACAAAAACATCATTGGGCACACCTAACTACATTTCATTTTGGCCACAGAGAGAAAAAAAAGTTTCGGGTCTATGTGGTGATGCCCCTGCTGCCCGGCTTTGAAGGTGACATCTCGTCAGGGGGGGGCCAAGCCATCAAAGCAATCATGCACTTTAATTATAGGTAATAATAACCCTGCAAGCATGCGTCTTCAGTAATCACCAAATTGCCACAATTAAGGGTAAAAATGCAGCCTGAATGGCGGCTTGCAGTAAATTACACGTGTGTAATGTGGAAACAACAGACCCTGCTCCTCACTGGCTACAGAGAGACCATTACAGCCCCAGCTTGGACTCTCAACACTAGGCTAAGAGGAGCAGTGAGGGTGCTGTGGTCACTGGGGTTCAGTGAGCGATGTGATCGGTCAGGTGAAGAAGAATTAAGAAATATGATTGGTGCAAGACAGGAAGTAGATGAAATGAAACCCCTCTTTCTCCATTTCAGGACAATGTGCCGAGGGGAGCACTCCATTATTGAGAGGCTCAAATGTGTGAGTAAGTAGACTAGTATGTAGAAGTATAAACTTACACTATATCCGTAACATTTGCAAAAATCATGTCCATCAAATGTGGATTGCATGACTGTAATTCATTATAACGGGACAAGGATGAAGAAAGTATGTTTGGATGTATTTGTATTTGTCTGCAGTGGCAGATTGCTGGATCAAGTACATCTCATTCTGCGGTCTGCGCACTCATGCTGACCTGGATGGGCGTCTGGTCACTGAACTCATTTACGTGCACAGCAAGCTCATGATCGTGGACGACTGCACTGTCATTATTGGTCAGCCACTCTGCCCACACACATATAGAAAAGTTCTCAGGAAATGACACCATTTGTGCCAGAACATTTCAGGGATTTTATTCTTTATCATTTCATTTGAAAACATTACTGCTGAGTGGAAAAGTCATAATTAGTTTCCCAGGTTAGGCCCAAAGTAGCAGTGTCATAACTGCACCATAGGTGAAGACGTCCTGCTTGTTATTCAGTTTAGTAGTTGTCAAATATGAATTTTTTTACCGGCTTGAAGTTACTATTAAGACATCTTTGGAAAAAAGACTATATGTAGACTATATTTAAATGTAAAATAAAAATTATAATAATATTTCAAATTCTATTTTAAGTAAATATTTAAATATGTTACATTTAATAGATATCCTGATATATACATACATACTGTGATAGCAAAGCAACCATTCAGCAACCATTACTTTTGTCTTTAGTGTCACATGATCCTACAGAAATCATTCTGATATTCTGATTTGGTGTTCAATTAATGCATCCTTGCTGAATTCATTGAATTATTATTATTTTATAATTATTATTATTTTTTTAAATACAGACTCTTAACTTTTGAAAGGTAGCGTATCACAATTTCGAAATATTAAGCAGCAACTGTTTCATCATTGATAATAATAAGAAATGTTTCTTGAGCATCAAATCAACATATTAGAATGATTTCTGAAGGATCATGTGACACTGAAGACAGGAGTAATGATGCTGAAAATTCAGCTTTGCCATCACAGGAATACACACACACACACACACACACACAAATTGACCTGTAGTGTAGTGCCTGGACGGATGGACAGTCCATCACAGTAAGTAATTGCATGTAAAGTTAGATCTTAATATTATATTATGCTTGTAACACATATTATTATTGTTATTATTTTTGTTGTTGTTGTTAATGTTAGGTCTGTGCAGTGTGCACACAAGATGATCATTTGAAATCTTTAAGCTGTAAACCTGTTAGCCGCCACTAGGGGTCACTGCAGTCATACAAAACACATGTAATTGCGGACAAGTGCAAAATAACAAACATCAACAGATGTTTATGAAAAGCGAATTCACGCCTGTCTCCTCAGTCATCACAAATGCATTATTAAAATCCCATTTACGTCGCTCAAATCCTGTTCGTCTTTATCAATTCCAATTATCCTCTTATCCTTATGAATAAGCTTTGAAGAAGAAAAATTAGAAATCTCAGGGTTTTTCACTGAAATGTCCTTGAGGCTTTCAGTAGAGGTCACACCCCAATACAGATCCAGAACACGCTCCCAACACTCCCCACAGGCATTAACCATGATAGTGGGGAAAGCGAAAGAGTCTGATAGGTATCTGTGATCTGCTTAGGCTCTGCAAACATCAATGACAGGAGCATGCTGGGAAAGAGAGACAGTGAAATGGCTGTGGTTGTTGAAGACACAGAATTCCAACCCTCTGTCATGGATGGAGAGAGTTATCAGGCTGGCAGGTTCGCTCTGTCTCTACGGGAGGAGTGCTTCAGGTCTGCTTTGCTGTTATACGTGAGCAACATGACAACATGATTTCCCTTTGCAGTGGGAGATTTTACAGTCCTGTGAAATACATCATTGCTATTCATTGGGTGAATCCCACAAAGAAATGTCTGGCTCTATTTTGACATTTTTCTTAAAGTAAATGCCACAATGACAAAAAAAAAGTCATAAAAAAAAGGCTTTGTTTTCTTCATATTGTTATTATTATTATATATACTGGCATTATTTGCATGATTAAGCAATTTTACACACTAAATTGGTACTAAATTCAAATGTAAAACTAAATACTCTAATGGGAAAACATTTATACACAAAATATTTTTATGAAATCAGTTTAAATAATATATCATTAATTTTTGCTATATTGAAAAATTTGAATTTTGTTGAGGAAATGTGCTTAATTCTTATGAAAATAATGTAGATATACTGCATAAAATATATCTGTAAATATTTGTCCTGAAATACAGTTTCTTCTCTTTATGTAAAATATTTGTTTTCTTTTTATTTTGAGGTGAAATATGATCTAGTTTATATACAGCATAATTGAACCTATTTATTTAAATATATTATTATAATTTTTTGCTGTATTACATTACAAAGTGTGTTATTTTGAGTGTGAAAGCAATCTCTTTTTTAGACTTGTACTTGGCTTGCTGGGAGACAAGACAGACATCAGTGATCCCATCAGTGACCGATTCTACAAGGAAATCTGGATGGTGACTGCAGCCAAGAACGCCAGTGTATATGACAAGGTAAATAAATCACTCACAAAAGGGAAGAGCCTCTGAAAGAGCACAGCGCTGACCTTCCTCACACTTAGAATAGAGCTTCCTTTTATCACTGATTTTAGAAATGTGATTAACCGGCTCCGTCAATAGAGCCGGATGTTTACTTGTGCTCTGATTCTGCCTTTGTGTCATTGAAATGTTTCAGCAATCCAATATTAGATAAATGTGCTGCAGTTTTGGTCTTTTTTTATATATGTTAAATTGGTGTTTGTTAGGAATAGTCACCATCACTGACTGTCTGTGCAGGTCTTCAGATGTTTGCCCACTGATGCAGTCCTGAACTATAAGATTCTAAGAGACTACATGTCACGTCCTTGCATGGCTGCCGAGGACCCTGCACAGGCCTGCGCCGAACTGAAGAAGATACGAGGCTTTCTGGTCCAATTTCCCTTATATTTTCTGTCTGAAGAGAACCTTTTCCCTTCCTTCAACTCTAAAGAGGGAATCATGCCCATCGAGCTGTGGACATAGATTCTTTGAACCTGTAATGAATGTCCTCTCTTTTGATGCATGCCATCTAATGATGCTATAGTGTGCATACTTCTGTAGAGCAAAAACTATCTCTGAGCTATCTATAGATGCATGTCTAAACCTTCATTCTTCTGCTGTTTGTCTGTTATCCCTGTAGGTTTATAACTAAACTCTCTTTAATATACATAGACACTGCCGCTGTTGTAAATAATTAACTTTGTTCTTCCAGTAATTATTTCTTTATATGTGCATAGTTCTTTTCAGATCTTCCTGATAATTAATCCAGGTAAAAAAAATGCTTAAAATAACAATACAACCACTTCAGATAGTATCACAGACACTTTTAATTTAAAAGCACGCAATAAATTGCTGCAATTTTCATTTTTACAAAATATATTAAGTACATTATTTCAATATATTATTTAAATTCATCTTAGAACTTACATATGTAGCTTTATTATAATAATTAAACATCTGGAAAAATCACAGTCACATAGACACATAATACAGTTACATTCACTGTCTTGCCATAATGTATACAAGTGTTTGCATTTTATAAACTGCAAACCCACAGTTTTACAACACAAGATAACTGTGGATCTTACAAACACCCATGTAATGAAGACAAATTATGGTGGCACAAAGACAAACAAGGAGAACGCTATGGCTTTGGTTAGGTGTGTCACATGAAGCATGTGAATTCCCTAACCATTACATCTAGATTTCAGATTATTAGACTCTTATATTACGTTACATAAACTTCCTGAGGACACATTACAGCTGCTCTTTCATCAAAGATATTTCTCATTGACGAAACAATGCTCACTGAAAATTTTCCACTACAGTAGAGGGAGCATCAACATGGTTGAAACCGACATTAATGTCTTAGTTTGAATAAGCAAAAGGTGGCTTGAACGGGTGCAGGTGATGCTTTGAGCAGCGTAGAAACACCTACGTTAAGCTAATACAAAGGATCATTTCTTATGCCATATTAGAAGCCAATACAAAAGATTTAGCTGAATGATCCTTTCTTAAGAGGAAAGGCTGGGAAATTAGCAAGCCGTTTTGCTTCAGATATCAATGAGGTCATCGCCGCTTTCATCACTTTCCACTGTCAGCTGGCGAGTCCACCACTTTTTGACTTCAGACCCCGAGGAGGCCTCATCACTCACAGGGTTCATCTTACACACCATGGACTTCACGCTCGTGCGCCCTGCGGGACAAACACAAGACTGCGATGTGAGTCACGGGTTAGCCAGCTACACAATGAGCAGAATACTAAATACATGGGAAAAGAAACAAACAAGTCTTTGTTCTTTTTCAAACAAATTCACAAAACTTGGTAAATTGTTTATTATATAGCACCACTGTCATTTTGAATTTATTTGAAAAAAGATTACACTTTATTTGGATAGTCCACTTTAGACATTCTACCAAGTATAAGTAACTATGCATCTACATGCCAACAAATCTCATTATTTGCAACTAAATGTCAACTAACTCTCATAAGATTATTAGTAGTCTGTTAGATTAGCGCTAAATTTAGGGTTAGCAGAATAAATTGTCTTTGTTCTTTTTCAAACAAATTCACAAAACTTGGTAAATTGTTTATTATATAGCACCACTGTCATTTTGAATTTATTTGAAAAAAGATTACACTTTATTTGGATAGTCCACTTTAGACATTCTACCAAGTATAAGTAACTATGCATCTACATGCCAACAAATCTCATTATTTGCAACTAAATGTCAACTAACTCTCATAAGATTACTAGTAGTCTGTTAGATTAGCGCTAAATTTAGGGTTAGCAGAATAAATTGTCATGTGCTTGCAAAGTTACTTATAGTTAGAATGTCTAAAGTGGACTCAAAATAAAGTATTACCTAAAAAAATAAAACGTACGTACAGTATAACATTATAAAATAATATTAAAAATAAACACACATTACATATGCTGTGTAATGTATTATATTTAAAATATAATGATAATATTAAAATTTTGAAAAAAATATTTTATATTATAGTGTTTGAAGATTTTATTGCTATTACAAAAAAAAAAAAAGCTCAAGAGAATGGATATGATTTCTATTAGCCATTCCCCTACAGTATAATTATCATGCTAACATCCTTTAGCAACACTTAGCATGACTTACGTTGCTGTATACAGTTAAGTCAATATATATTTGGACAGTGACACAATTTTTATAATTCTGGGTGCCATCAAAATAGAATTAAAATGAAACAATCAAGATGATATTGAAGTGCAGACTTTCAGCTTTAATTCAAGGGGTTGAACAAAAATATCGTGAATCGTTTAGCAATTGCAACCATTTTATACACAGCCCGCCTATTTTCAGGGGCTCAAATGTAATTGGACAAATGAATATTGTAATAAATAATTCATTTTGATTTTATATATTTGATATTTTATAATTCAAAATAAAATATTCATTTTGAAAGTTTTGTTGAGAATCCTTTGCAGGTGATGACTGCCTGAAGTCTGGAACCCATGGACATCACCAAAGACTTGGGTTTTCTCTTTTGTGATGCTTTGCCAGGCTTTTTACTGCAGCTGTCTTCAGATGTTGTTTGTTTGTGGGTCTTTCTGCCTTGAGTTTTGTCTTCAGCAAGTGAAATGCATTTGAAATCAGGTGACTGATTTTGCCATTGCAGAACATTTCACGTTTTTATCTTCAAAAACCCCTGGGTTGCTTTTGCAGTATGTTTTGGGTCATTGTCCATCTGTACTGTGAAGCACTGTCCAATCAACTTCTGCATTCGGCTGAATCTGGACAGACAGTATATCCCGACACACTTCAGAATTCTTCCGGCTGCTTCTGTCTTCTGTCACGTCATCAATAAACACCAGTGACCCAGTGCCACTGGAAGCCATGCATGCCCATACCATCACATTGCCTCCACCATGTTTTACAGATGATGTTGCATGCTTTCTCCACATGTTTTTCTTCCTGTTATTCTGGTACAGGCTGGTCTTGGTTTAATCCGTCCAAAGAATGTTTTTTCCAGAAATGGTCTGGTTTTTGGCAAAGTCTAATCTGACCTTCTATCCCTGAGGCTTGTGAATGGTTCACACCTTGTGGTGAACCCTCTCTATTTGCTCTCGTGAAGTCTTTCTTGACTGCACACTTCAACAATGACACACATACCTCCTGGAGAGTGTTCTTCAGTTGGCTGGATGTTGCAAATGGGTTTTTCTTTACCATGGATAGGATCCTGCAATCATCCACCACTGTTTTCTTCCGTCAACATCCAGGCCTTTTTATGTTGCTGAACTCACAAGTGTGTTCTTTTTTGTTGATTTGGTCACTTCTAATGTTCCTGCTATCTCTCTGATGGATTTGTTTTGTTTTTGAAGCCTAACGATGGCCTGTTTCACTTGCATGGAAAGCTCCTTTGACCATGTGATGTGAGTTTGCAGCAACAGCTTCCAAATGCAAATGCCAATCTAAGAAACAACTTCAGACCTTTTACCTTCTTACTAGATGAAGAAATAATGAAGGAATAGCCCACACCTTTCCACAGAACAGCTTTTGTGTCAACTATCCAATTATTTTGGCACATATTCATTATATAACTGTAACTGTAATATGTTTTGGTAACAAAAATTGTGCTTGTGTCCAAATATATATGGACCTAACTGTACCTCATTTGTAATTCGCTCTGGATAAAAGCAATTATTTTGTAAATGTAACAAGCTTGTTAAATAGTGCAAGTGTTTGGTGTTGACCTGCAGGCAGTCGCCACTGTCCCAGCTTCCTCTGGGGTCGGTCGGCAGAGTCCTGTCGGTAGCCGCTGCGGTCTGACAGGGTGGGGCTCAGTAAGGTCTGCAGGCCGCTGTTCTGCTGGGTCAAGACCAGGAAAATCATTTCAAATCATTTCATTAGAATGTCCCTCAGTGACACGCAAAGTCTTTGAAGAATAGACACTAGTAGGGTTACCTCTGGCTGAGTGGGATTGTCTTGGTTATGGGCGTTGGTGTCCTCACTGGGGACGGTGGTCTCAATGCTGGGAGGGTTGAGCAGGCGTCGGAGGTCCTGCTGTTGGCTCTCTCTCAGACTGAGAATGATGCTACATGACTGCTGCTGCTTCTGAAGGAGGAAGGTGGTGTCAGTGTTTTCATTCGGTTCATCCTGCATGTCTAATATTAGCTTCTATCCCAGTGCCACTATGCTGTTTTGGGACTAATTCTATTGAACAATGACAATAAAAGCATTTGAACTGAATATCAGCCGTTATATCAGTAATCCTATAAGTGGATCTCTGTAAGTTTATAGCTTTGACGTTGACTACACATCGCAAGCCAAAAGCTCCTAACTCTGACTTCCTGCTCAAAACAGATTTCTTTGTGAGAAGAGATAGCAAAGCTCCTTTCAAGGAAAGTCAGTTCTCTCAGTGCCCGTATATGCAATGCCTCCAGGCAGTTATTTCGGGCACCAATTCCTATCTATGTGAATGAGGAAATACCAAAATCTGCTGCTTGTCAACCTCACATTTAAATAACACTTTTAAATGAGCTTTTCAACAAATGCTGTTATTCCACAAAAATATGCAAAGCAATTTTTCCAATTAGGAGTATTATGAATAAACTGTCTTGGTATATATATTCAGTTTTTGGAGAG